CAGCAGCGTGTCACCTCGGGTTATTATGGCAGCAGATTTGCACCAGACCTAAGAGAACTTTCTCCAGTCATGTGTTCTTCCCCATAGACACTTTTGCTTGGATTCACCAGTCATGTTAGAAGCAGCCACCCTGCTGTTCTCTCAGAGCAGAGTTCCTACCCTTCTGGACTGGAGGGCACCCCCACAAAATGCCTAGTTAGAGGGCTATTGCTTTGGGGGTTACCTACGGCTTTTATGGATCGTAGGCTACATCTTTTTAAGCAAAACCTTTCATGTTAATTGGATGTCGCAACAACTCATTAATAATGGTTTGCCTAATTCATCTAATTGCTGGCATGCAAGGCAGCTAATGGTTCTTTTAAACACATGTTTTGGCAGTGCCCAGTAATTGCTTCTTTTGTGGGGTACATTATTTGATCAATTTTGTACTGGAACAGTCTTTAATATGTGGTGATATACAGGCACTTTTAAATCATTTGCTGCCTCCATGGAAATTCACAATGGTTAGCACAAAGCATTCTCTGTGCCCTTTTGACAGCTAACAGACTGATAATATGATATTGGAAGGACCAATATTCACTGCGTATAATGCAATGGGCTGAGGACCTTGCAGTGGTTGGAATATTTGAATGGGTGGTTTATCAGAACCTCCTTCGAAATGGATATTTATTTGGTTCTTTGGTCTACTTTTGCCACATCCTATGCATAATTGCATTTTATGCAGATCTATATCTGCATATACGAACAAAAACATTTGCAGAAAACCCATCACAAGTGTGAGGGCACCTACATTCCTGGGTTAGTCTGTCGGAGGGATAGTCAGGTTCAAGTCCCCACTTGGCCATGGTGTCTAGTGATAGACTTCCAACATTATCTACTTCTATGAGTGCCTGTAGCCTTCCAAACACAGAGAATTATGGGCCTCCTGTTGAGGATGGAAGGGCTATGGAGGTAAAGTCTCTGTGTCCCTCCTGCTCTGCAAAAGACCTAGATGGTTGAGTTGAGATGCTGTTAGGATAGGTGGTCTTGTGGTAGAGCCTCAGTTCTCCCCTCCTTCTGGAACTTCCAGCTCTGAGTTTGGTCTTCTGGGCCAGAGCCAGCGCAGCAAGAACTGTGCTGGTTGGGAGTGCAGGGGAGGGCTGTTCGAGCCTGGAGGCCCAGCTCCGACATCATCATGTTTCTGAGGTCAGAGCTGAGACTCCAGCTTTTCCCATGGTCTCTCTTTCAGCCTTTGTACTAAGCCTTGGAGAGGGGTGAAATGGCACAGAAACTTGGAAGTTACCAAATGATTGAATGATGAGTGGTTGCAGGGGGAAAAAATCATTATATTAGGAAAATTGCTTGCAAAAAGATGGATGTCAGGCATATTGCCCTCAAACATACAAAAATCAATGTATAAGGAGTGATGTGTACAAAAATGTGTGCCATTTTTAGGCAAATTTTTTGCCTCAATGTCCTGAATAGACTGAATTTAAGACTGGAATTAAGTATTAAATTAGAAACTGAAATTGGCAGATTTGTCTGTCCCTAGAAAGCTCTGCCCTGGATCTGTGGCAGCTGCTAGTTCGTTCTGTGAGCAGTTTTGTCTGTCTTTCGCAGGCAAATCCAGGCAGACCCAGCTGCCAACAGGAGGGAGAGCCTGTGTATCAATATTCCCACACCTCCATATAGCCCCAGTCTATATATTCTACATCGCACCTCAGTATATCCTTCCAGGAGGATGGGGTGGAGCGGTCAGGGGTCCTTTGCCATTCTGAGCACACACAAACTCCTGGACCATTGGCTCTCCTCTTGGACCTGGGTGCAGTGACATGAAACAAAATCTGGAGAAGGAGGGACATTTGCTTAATCTTTCTAGGGCAGAGATTAGTTACTGACAGTATGAACCTCAGGCTGAAATATGCTGATGTGGTTTACATTTTGCTTCCTCCAAGAATGTCCGTGCCCACATCTGGAAAGTAGTCCTCAGAGCTTCTAGGAAATGCAATTCAGCCTACGGGTTAAAGACTCTTCTGCAAGGGAACGAATCCCTTTGTACTAATGGTGCAACAGGATTCACTCCCTGGAAAGTTTTCTTCAGAGTAAACATACTTAGGTTCTTCCCATGGGAAGTGCCACTGTGGGAGGCGTATGAGAAACATGGAGTGCGTCTCATACTGTGTGGAAGCTCCAGTGCAGCTTCCAATTGATTGTGAAAGAGCATATTGGGCCTGAGTGTGGAAAGGAACAAAAAGCCTGAACTGTGCCAAGGATACCAGTGCAAAAATTACCCCCTTGGCCAGCCCTTCTCAGCTGCAGCTTCCAGCCGAAGTATGTGGACAATAATACTGACCTAGATTACTGAATTCTTGCAAGCATTCCAGCATGATGATGCATATGAAGTCCTGTTAGCTCCATAATGTATGCAAGAGTTAGGATAAGCTATGGTTAGAGGCAATAGCTTGTAATCTAGGAGACAGAGAACTATAAAGTTGCTCATAAGTGCCTCAGCAGGTCATTGATTACCACTGCTTGGTTAGCACCTAGGAAGTGAGAAATTTGCCCCATGGAGGGCTGTTGTTGCTGTCTTTAATGGTTTTACCAGATATGATGCCTCCGGATGTTTGCGATCCAAGACAGCTTTGTGTGCTGCAATCCACATTTTTTGCAGCTCATCTTGGGAAAAAAAATTTGCAGCTCATTTAGGGAAAAGTACATACCAAAGAGCATTTCTGCAATGTGAAATACTTGTAAAACATCATACTTCTGAAAAAGGACACTGCAGTGGGTATATGCATTGGGGGAAATGTTTATACAAAAAGGACAAGTTTCTGCGTGGATTTTTCTTTTTTAAAAATCAGAAGCCGATGTGGAAACAGGCAGAATGAGTTTGACCTCAAAAGCCCAGCAAGACCAAGATTGACAGATGCATCCATCCATCCCCATGTTTGCCATTTACACCAAAATGAACTTCTCAGTTGCGTCTTCTCTGCATTGCCAACAACCAGCCAGGTTTTCTAACAGTCAGTCTCTGAAAACAAAGTGGCCGAGCACTGAAGTGTATTCTTCACAGCCAAATTGGAAGCCAATTTCTTGCAAGAAGATACATTTTATTTTGGTATAGTGAGAGATCTTTCCGTGGTTATTTAAAGTTTGACTCAAGCAGCACTTTTTGGAGAATAATTTTAATGTAGCAGAAGGGCTTGTAGGTGGCGGCCCACTTTTGCGGCTGCCAGAACTCCTGGCAGCAAATGAGACAGTGAGCACAGTGCTCATTTCCAGAGGCCCATTCCTAAAAGACAGCAGTGTATCTGTTTTTAAGGCATATGGGGCAATATCTCTTCAAGGGGGCAATCCTATCTCTGGTATTTTAAGGAGAAGAACCTCAGTCTTTATTTGGGACCATATTTGAACAATTCACAATTCGTGCTTGTTTCCTGTTCTTTTAAACTATTCAAGAACTTAGATTCTTGGGGTAATGTGCAATACATTAAAACCAAGTGCAAGTATTATAGCAGAATTAAAATCGTACAAAATAAAATCAGAGTAAAACCGGCGGCACAGAATAAAACCATTACGGAATCATAAAACCAAATAAAAACTAGCAGCCAAATAAAAGCACTAAAACAGTTCTTAAAATGCCTGGAGTAATAAAAAATCCATTTAGCATCAGAAAGAGCATGTAATGTTTGCATGAATGTTCTGCCTCGTGTTTCTTGTGTCTACCGGGACTGATTTTCTTAAGAATGGTCATATGGGGGTCTCTTAAAGGATAACAAGGAAGGCTTAAATCTTCACTGTATTTCCTATAGTTCCTATTGCCAGAAGCTGGGAAACAGTCAGCAGTGATGGATATCTCCAGGGGAAGGATCCAGAGGTGCAGTCCTGCCAGTGTAACTTACACTGTGCTAGAAAAATGTGTCCTGCCATTGCTGAATCTCAACACCAAATTGCCACTTTTTCTCACTGCACTACTGACACTGCACAGACATCCGTTTATGTGAGTGCCACATCATTAGAGCTAGTCCTGGGGCTACCCCAAATCTTCTGCTGCCTTGCTCCCACTCAATTATCTAAGGATCATTGGTCACCATCAGCAGAAAACTTGTGGAAAAGCTCCACTTCAGATATGACCCATGTTTATGGATTTTATATAACTGGATGGAGATTGATACTGTCACAGGATCGGGAGAAAGGTTTAAAGTGCAAGTATTGTTTGGGAGTGGAAGAAAATCACATAGTCCAGCAATGCCAGTGCTGTGGATGAAGATCGCAGCCCTGCTGGGATCTCCATCTACCATTGCAAATATTCAAGCTGGGCTTGGTGAAAAAGAGAAAGAATGTCAGCTAGGTGTGAAGCCCATGGAAGTATTGCAGATAAAAGCAACCTCACTAATGGCCGACTTGCATGTAAAAGGATGCATTTGGTTGTGGGCATCTCCCATCAGCAGAAATGCTGCAATGAAACATATGCCTCCTCCTCTGGAGTCTCCCAAAACCCTGTGATCTTCCTTGGAAGACTGGGGAAAACACTGGAACAGTTTTGGGAAGGCATGCAGAGGAGAGAATGGAAGGTCCCGTTGCACAAGTCTAAGTTTGCTTGTGCAGCCTTGGATGACATCTGATGACCGAATGGTTCACTCCATTCCTGCACTATCTGGATGCGTAAGTGCAATCATGACTGCTTTCCGTTAGACAGCTAAATATACTATTAGTTTTCCTTTCATTAGCTTTTTAAAACTTTGCCCCAGTATTTATGAAGCTCCCAAGTGTGGCACATTTTAGCATTTGCTAGGGGAGAAACACAAGTAGAACATCCATTATCCCAACAGTACAACCTTTTGCACTTTGCAGCAAGTATTCCAGAAGATCAGATGTAGCCTGACAGAATTTTTGGTTTGTATGACCTGCTTTTTCCATCCCCAAGAGCCGGCACTGACCAAGGCATTGCATTGAAAAGCTATGCAGAAACAAATTCATTTCAAAGGTCTTTTTCTTTTTCTCTCACCTTTTCTCCCCAGTGACACTTTCTGCTGCAACTCCAGCCTATTTCCGTGGATTCACACTGATTGCTTTGAAAGAAGGCAAAGAGGGAGACAAAGAAGAAGACCATGCGGGAACCTTTCAGGTGAGGAGACGGTTCTTGAGCTCTGGCTGCCGCGATTCTCACCAAATGGCAATTTCCCAGGAGGAAATAAGCTATAGAATCTGCATCCCCTATTTGTGAGCATGTTGGCAGTTCTGTAGTTGCAGGTGTGGTACCGGCTTTGTAGCTCCAGCTAAAGGGCAGAACATATGGAAAATCAATCCCCCGCTGCTTATTACCATGACCTGTAAGTTGACTGTAGAGTTCAGTGAAATGTCACTATGTTCTTATACATTTCTAGTCCAGGTCTGCATATTTGCTTAGAAGGAAGTGTTACTGAGGTCAGTGGAATTTGCATCCAAGTTAAGCATGTGCAAATAGGATACAGGAGATCAGAGGTTGACCATGGTATGCTGCTATTCATAACAAATGCAGTCCAGCTCAAATATTTGGCAATATTGACTTTGTCCAGCAGTCTGTCTCTTTTCCTGCCTGCTCTTCTGCCTAGACTAGCAGAGATCATTTTAGTGTGATGACATTTGGATACTTAACTAGTTCAAACCCAACCATTGCTCTGTGGAAGTAAATCCCGCTTAATTCACTGGGGCTTACTTCCAGGCAAGGGTACTTTAGTGGTGAGCAATTTGTGCTGGGTTGAACTGGGACCCTTCAGTTTTGCAAGCAAATATTAATCATGTGGTTGTTATGCCTTGCCTAATAGTGCATGAACAACACAATGAATAAAAAGCTATGTTCAGGTCTAGGAATATTATTTTGTCTCAGCACTGCTAGAATGCTTACTTCCAGCTGTCACACTGACTCAGCAAGGCCTCTGGTGCTTTTATTAAGTTCCACTGAGTGTCAGAGCCTGTGTTAGATGGAAAACATCTGAGTCCTTTTTGTTCCATTTGGTTATACCCAAAATTATGCGAAAGGACAAAAATTGGCATTATTCTGTAAATGGTTGTACAGCCACCAATGGAGCTACCTCTAATTAAATAATAATAAATTATGGAATGTCTAGTACAATGATTTGCAGAACAGCTTGTGCAATGGCTCGCATAAACACAATCAAAGGATTGGATTTAAGACTTGTGCAAAGGTAAAAATGTGATTTCTTCAAATGCTAGAAGCAGTGAGCTTAGGAGATGACATCGCTGGATACAAGTCATGGTATCTTCAGTGGTGTATGAACCATCACTTTTTCTTTGTTTTCTTTTAAAAATGCTTTTGCAAAGATTTCAACTTTCCTGCTGCAACTTGCCATTTCTATACTGAGAGGAAGTTCACAGGCTACATTCTCTCTGCTCTGCGACCAACGTCACACACAGTAACAATCTCTCTCTCTCTCTCTCTCTCTCTCTCTCTCTCTCTCTCTCTCTCCCCCTCTCTCCCCCCCCCCCTCCTCTCAGGATGCATAATGTTAAAAATATGAACTGACCTTGCTCCTAAGAACAATTGTTGGCAAGATCTAGGGCAAGTTTTGAAAGTGTGAGGACATTTAAAACTACTGCAAGTGCAATGCCAATTTCTCTCTGCTCAGATAAATTGCTGCCATTCAGAACTGCCTTACAAATCCACAGCTGGCCACTGCTGTCTGAGGAAACGGACCCTGGTCATAGATTTCAGATGTCTTCTCTCCCAACAGCAGGATTGGATGTGTGAGTGTGGTATATTTGTTAGGCTGCAAGCACTTGCACAGTGAGATGCTGTAGTGGCATGACTCTGTCTGTCCTGCTGCCCGCACTAAGCCTCTGAGCAAGTCGATATCTCATTTTCTGTTAGGCTCCATGAACATGTACTTGCTTGTTTTATTTGGTTATTTATTTATTGTTATTTATTTATATACCACCCCATCCCCATAGACAGGCAGTTTTCAAGAAATTAAAGCCAACAGTGATTACAAGTTGACTAAAAGCAAAGATATGAAATAAAACTGATCTGAGAACTAACCTGGGAAGGCCTGTTGGAAGAGATGCATCTTTAACTCCCTCTCAAATGTAGCTGTTTGGGATATTGGATGCATCTCTCTCTGCAGACCATTCCAGAGTTTAGAGGCAACCTAAACTCTTCTGAGCAGATGACATTGGCATTTGATGCTGAAATATAAAGTGCAAAACAACATGATGTTTTTTTTTAATTACTGCTAGTCTCTTACATCACCTTCTATGCCCTTTTAGCATCATATCACACCTGGGTCAGCCAGGTCTGTCGTCATTTTCAGGGGCTTTGGTTTTGCTGCCGTCTGAACTGGGAATCACTTCTTATGAAATGCTCTCACTTCAGTGAGCAGAAGCAGCACCGTCCTTGTGGAAGGACAGTGTTGGATCCCTCCTCATATTCCAGCAAGCATGTTCTTTCACTGCCCCTGTTGAAGGCTATGTCCTTTTTTCATTTCAGGCTGGTAAGTGATGCAGGCAGCATCATTTCCATCATGCAGAGAATGACTGGGGCAAAATAAAAATCTTTTCTCTCCATTCCCTCCCTTTTTTACTCAGTGAAGCATTTATAACTTATGCAACTGCTCCAGCAGAAGTGATCCCATAAAAATATATAATCTTCACCTTCATTATGCCTATGATGTTTTTGAAAATTCTGGATCATTTCATTATTCCACAGGAATCTATATTGAGTCATACAGTTGGATGTTTGCTGGAATGTTTGAGCATAGCATGTTGAACAGAAAAAAATGCATTGTTGATGATGACAATATTTTCCACAGTCAATAACATGGACTTTGCAAAACTGAAAAAGGCTTATTATTCTTACATGTTTATCATTACAAACACAATTCTGTGACATCAGTATTTTAGTGGGGGAAATCAAAGGCTTTTTCTGGAGAACTGTTAGGGAACAGATGCTGAAAATAACCTCATTGCCCATATATATATTATCGATTATATAATATTATAATTTTTTATATATATATCGATTCTTTTTCTGCTAGTACAGAGCATATAAACGTATCAAGTGCATTTAGGGTAGAATCCCCACCCTGTAAATCCCTGAACTGGGAGGCTTAAGAGCAGCCTTTCAGAGTGGGAGGGGTGGCAGACGGAGGTCATTTCCTTCCCATACCTCCTGCTCCTGGCTGTTTCATCCATCCATTTGAGGCTCTTCAGAGGGGCAGGAAAGGGACTGCGGAGGACACAGGCTACCTTCTGTCCTTCCCTCTGCTGTCTCCCTCCTTGCTCACCTGCTGGAGTTACTCCTTTTATTCTCCTCTGGCATCACGTTCCCAACATCAGAGAGCAGGCAGTTCTTTCCATGTGTGGCTGTGAGGTGGGAAATGGGGATCAGATTCCCAGCTCCAACCTTGGATCTGGGAACTGAAAGTATCCTATTTGCCGCACCACTGCCCCGATCATATCTAGGGGTCACAGGATTGTTGTCTGAATGTGCAGAAGGTATGTATTATGCTCTTCCCATCAGTAAGTTTTGATATCTTCGTCAGTCTATATACCTCAATAGAATGAAGAGCATATATGTGGGTGTGTGTGTGTCTATAGAATGAAGACACACAGAGCTACTACCCTAAAGGGCAGCCCTGAGTCACTGTTCCCCTGCCCTTCTGTGACAGGGCCACGCAGCACATCTCATGGGGTACTGCCAAGCTGCACACTTATTTCCCTGCTTCACCCCAGGGGCCACGGAGGCCACAGAAACTAAGTGGGGCTTGCTAGGCCCAATGGCACAGGCTGGAAAGAAGAAAGACTGCTCCCCAAAAGGAGATTTTAAAAAGATGTGCATATGATAATTGGTTTATATATATTTATTCTATTTATTTATACAGATCAGATGTGACCTGTTCACAGTCTTCCACACTAGGATGAAAGGCAAATAAATAGAATAGAATTTAAATGGAAATCCATGTCATCCTAGTGTGGAAGACTGTGACCAGATGACATCTGAGCTGTCCCTGCTGTCCAGGAGCTAAATAGTAAAGGGGAACTTCGGAGATCTTGCTTACCTTTCTTGTGTCTATGTATCCTTAAACTGGACTCGAATTAGATTGCCCTTCAAGAAGAGGGTTCTTTCAAGGAGTTGACTGCTCTCTGATAGCTCTTCAAAGTCCTTTATACATTGGGGCACCCTATGGTAGAAAGAAGTGGAGTGAATTACTAGCATATGGTTTAGTGTGACAAGGAAAAGAGACATGAAGCTGTAGTTTCTGGCATCAGCCCTTTCTTGTGGCAACTAATGATGCCCTACGTATACAGAGACAAATCTTTTCTCTGGTCTCTTTTCTAGACTGAAGGGGGTTCCTAAATACGTATGAGGGTAGAAAAGTTACTAAGTGAAGTAGCTTTCAAGAAGTACTTCCTGTATTGTGGGGTAACTGGCATCTCCACAACGCATTCCTTTTCTGTACTGTAATCTATGCAAAAGTAGTTATAAAAGCCTTCCAAATTCTGGCCTCCTGCCTTCTGTAGTTCTTTTTTCTATAAATCAAAACATCCCTGGGACAGAAAAGTACACCAGAATCTCCATAAGAATAGTTTTATGGGGTACTTTTATACCCCCAAATAGGCTACAAACACAGGAATAAAAGAAGGGGCAATAAAGATTCATCTTTTGAAAGCTCTTTTGAAAGCTAAGATTCTTAGTTAAAATAACTGACTAACAGAATTAAAATCTACTAAGGAAAAGCTTTGCTATACTTTTTTAAAAACATTCGGCAGAACTATGGCTATGCAGAGAAAAGGTGAATGGGCCAAGCATTGCGTAGATTTTCTTGTTTTGCATAGCCTGAGGACCCTTAAAATACCTGTTGTTGAGCCCAAAAAAGACATATGAACCTTTTTCTTGCCTGAAGCACTTCCATCTGGGGTCAAAATTATCCAAATGTAAATAATGCTAGTTATTTTGATGACGAATGAACATTGTGGTTCATGATGGATACTTGATTTGGAGCCAGAATTTTGTGCAGAGTATAGAGATTTGCTGAGCAATGGAAGTTGTGTTGTGGGAAGGCATTACACCTCTGTTCATAGAGGGGATGCCATCTAGGTGCCAAAAGAAGGGGTGAGGGGGGGAAAGAG